GGTCGCAGCACTCAGAAGAGCATGCTACACACAGACTGCACCATGTGCTGGTGCCTCGAGCCCCTGAGCTGGAGGTAATGACTTGGGGCCACCATGGCACTCAGGGGAGCAGGATGGGGTAGAGGGAGTGAAGAGGGACGTTTCTCTTGTTTCCAGACTATGGAGCCCCTGGTCTATACCAGTGACAGGGACCCCACATTTGGTGGCAGGGGCAGGGCCTGCATTTGGCCTCTGCCTGGGCCCCATGTGTATGACACTGGCTCTGCTGCTGAGCGTACAGCAGGGGATTTATGAGCCCCATGACAGCACGTGGGTCTGACCCTGCTTGTGCTGTGTGGGGAAGGCGACAGGGGTCACGGTGCCCAGGACTGCGCCTGCAAGGCACTGCAGACATGGCCGGGGCCTTGCAGCACACTCAGGATTGGGCCCATTCATACAGTTATGTCCTTGTTAGGAGGCCTCTGGAGACCGGGGTGGGATGGGGGGGAAAGGCGACAGGGGTCACGGCGCCCAGGACTGCGCCTGCAAGGCACTGCAAACATGGCCGGGGCCTTGCAGCACACTCAAGATTGGGCCCATTCATACAGTTATGTCCTTGTTAGGAGGCCTCTGGAGACGGGGGGACATGTGGTTGGTTTTCCAGGTGTTTTCAATGTGGGCAGGGGGCCAGCAAAGCTAGTAAAGGGCACTTACCTTCCACTGCCTTGTACTTCACTGTAAAGGGAGAAAGAACAAGAATTAATGCGGAGCCCAGCAAACTCCCTGGTCCCCCCCAGACAAGGGCAGCATCTCCCTGTCTGCCAGTGCAGACGTTGGAAGCAAGTTGCCGTCTGGGTAAGAAACATGTGAGTGGCAAGGACTTTTTGGGGATAGGTTTATATGAACTGCACAGCTGGGAGAAAGAAGAACAACACCTTGTGTTCAAAAGCTACCTTGATCCCAGCTCTGCAGGTTGACACTGAGCTAGATAAAGTGTGTTCAGGTTCTCTGTGCACGGCCTGTCTGCGTGCACCCGGGCTCCCATCCCATGGCCCAGAAAGCCGCCACCTTGCCGGGCTCTGGGGAGAGGCGATACTTCAGGTTTGAGGGGCAGAGACTGAAGCGTCAGTCCTGGTCTCAGGGAAGAGGCAGGTGGTGCGTGAGGTCCCAGGACTTGGGAGTTTACACAATGGGGCTCTCAGGGCCCCGAGGACCAGGCAAGAGGGCGAGCTGGATGGTCCTAGAAGTGATGCTGGATGTGAGCCCAAGCGGTGCTGAGAGTGTGCAGTTCTTGCAGGTTTGCATTGGAGCAGAGGGCACTCAGCTCCACACAGGATTGGGGCCGTGAGCTGGGACATCTCTGTTGGAGCCCGGGATTAGGTGGGGACTGTTATGAATGTTGCTGTACCACGAATGCTGCTCTGTCCCTATGCTTTGTGGACCAGGCATCGCTCAGGCCCATCCCAGAGAGTGGGACCGTGGTCAGTCATTCTGTCCCAGGTCTCAGGGGAGAGCACAGACCCAGAACAAAAGGGCCCCGGTGCTAGAAGGGGACAAACAGTCTGCCAGAGACACAAAACCCTGGGCCAGGCACAGGCAGGCCTGGGCAGGAAGGTGAGGTCGTGGCTGGCAGCTGCGGGTGGAGGGTCTGGTTTAATTGTGGGACTAGACGAGTTCAGGGAAGCTGAGCTGAAGAGCTCTGTGGTTCAAAAAACCCCTGTGATGTGCAGAAAGGGATCCCAGAGCCTCACAGGGCTGCTCTGTACCACAGCCGCACCAGGTCCCAGCATCAGTAGCTCATGCATGCCTTCCCCATCTGAGACACCCGACCCAGGACAGATACGGCAGATCAATATGAGGCTTTGCTGGAGGAGTCAGGATTGGTGCCGGGGGTGAGGCAGCTGGAGCGGGAGGTCCCAGTGCTCAGGATCTGGGGCAAGAGAGGTCCCAACACCCTGGCCTCTGCCCTGGCCTCATGGATCTGTCACTGGCTCTACTGGGGAAGGTGCAGCCAGGGATCAAGCTGACCCATGGGAGCACGTGGGCCTGACCCTGCGTGTGCTGTGTGGGGAAGGCAACAGGGGCTGAGGTCCCAGGCCTGCCCTATGGAGGGTGCTGGGAGTCAGGGCTGGGGCCAGGAGCCTCCCCAGGATGATCCCTACAGAGCCATCCTCTTACAAGTCCTTCCTGGAGATGGGGAGGGAACAGTTTGATTTTCAGGGTGTCAGGAGAGTCAGTAAAAACTCATTTACCTCCCACTTCTTGTATCTTGCTGCAAAGTGGAGAGAATTAATGTGGAGCACCACAGACTCCCCTGGCCCCATCCCAGATAAGGCCGGCAGCCCCTGTCAGACGGGACAGAGCCAGGAGCAGGCTGGCATCCAGGGGTTTAAGGCAGAAGTTTTGGTGGCGGGGTGATATTTGTTATTGTATGAACTGCACAGCTGGGAGAAAGGAGACCAGAAGCACAATGCCTTGTGTTCAAAACCTTGTCTAAGTCAATCCCAGATAGGCAGGTGGTCCCATAAAAGATAGCACCCCCAAAATGCCTCGCCTCTTACATGACTCCTGGACCATCAAGGCTACAACATCGCTGTAACACCACCGAGGACAGAAGTCAACACAGAACAGGACAATATGTGTTGAGCTCCTTTATGCAAAGTTTGTCTGTTTGCACCTGGCCTCTCATGGTCCCCCGACCCTGGAGAAGCACAGGGCTCCCCAGAGGGCTGCCACCTTGGTGGGCTCTAGAGAAAACCCTGGTTTAAGCCTTAAGGGTCAGAGTCTGAAGGGTCCGTCCTGGTCCCAGGGCTGAGACAGTAGAGGGTGAGGTGCCAGCACGCAGAAGAGGATGCTACACACAGACTGCACCACGTGCCTGAGCCTAGAGCCCCTCAGCTGGAGGTAATGACTGGGGGCCACCACGGCACTCGGGGGAGCAGGATGGCTCTAGGAGGAGTGAAGAGGGCAGTTTCTCTTGTTTCCAGACTTCGAAGCCCCTGGTCTATACCAGTGACAGGGATACCAGTGACAGTGAGCCCATGTTTGGTGACGGGGGAAGGGCCTGAACTGTGGCCTCTGCCCAGGCCCCACACATCTGACATTGGCTCTGCTAATGAGCGTGCAGCAGGGGATTTATGAGCCCTGTGACAGCACGTGGGTCTGACCCTGCTTGTGCTGTGTGGGGAAGGTAACAGGGGTCACGGCGCCCAGGACTGCCCCTAGCAGGCACTGCAGACATGGCCGAGGCCTTGCAGCACACTCAGGATTGGGCCCATTCATACAGTTATGTCCTTGTTAGGCCTCTGGAGACGGGGGGGGATATGTGGTTGGTTTTCCAGGTGTTTTCAATGAGGGCAGGGGTCAGTGAAGCTAGTAAAGGGCACTTACCTTCCACTGCCTTGTACTTCACTGTAAAGGGAGAAAGAACAAGAATTAATGCGGAGCCCAGCAAACTCCCTGGTCCCCCCCAGACAAGGGCAGCATCTCCCTGTCTGCCAGTGCAGATGCTGGAACCAAGTTGCCATCTGGGTAAGAAACATGTGAGCGGCAAGGACATTCTGGGGACAAGTTGATATCTCGTATTGGGTTAACTGCACAGCTGGGTGAAAAGAGACCAGAAGAATACCTTGTGTTCACAAATTTGTCTAACTCGATCCCAGATCTGCAGGTGGCCCAATAAAAGATACCACCCCAAAACTGTCTTACCTCTTTCACAACTCATGGACCATGAAGGTTACAACAGCACCCTATCACCACCGAGGACAGAAGTTGACACAGAACTAGACAATGCATGTTCGTGTGCTCTGTGCACGGCCTGTCTGTGTGCACCCGGGCTCTCCCTGGCCCATGGCCCAGAAAGCCGCCACCTTGGTGGGCTCTGGGGAAAGACTTTGCTTAAGCCTTGAGGGGCAGAGACTGAAGAGGCAGGCCGGGTCTCTGGGAAGAGGCAGCTGGTGCATGAGGTCCCAGGACTCAGGAGTTTACAGCATGGGCCCTCAGGGCCCCGGGGGAGAAGGCAGATGGGTGAGCTGGGTGGTCCTAGCAGGGAGGAAGGAGGGCAATCACCCATGACTGCAGCCTTAGGGCCCCTGGGCTACATCAGTGACGATGGCCCAGCGTGGGGTGGCACAGGGAGGGACCCACACCTCACCCTCTGCCCAGACCCCACAGGTCCAACGCTGGATCTGCTGGTGAGTGTCCAGCTGGGGCCGACCACCCTGTGACTACACCTGGGTCTGACCATACTTGTGCATGCGGTGAAGGCAGAAGGGGCCACAGGGCACAGGCTGCCCCAGGCAGGCACTGCAATGAGGGCAACGCCTTGGACGGTGCCCAGGTTTGGGTCCATTCATGCAGATCAGTCCTTGTGATGAGGCCTCTCTGGAGATGGGCAGGGACATGGGTTGCTCTCACAGTGTTTCCAATGTAGTCAGAGCATCAGTGAAGCCAGTAAAGTGCATTTACCCTTCATTGCCTCGTGTTCCCCCGCGAAGTGAGAGAGCAAGAATGAGTGTGGAGCCCCACAAAATCCCTGGCCCAGCACAGCTGAGAGCAGCGTCTGTCCCGGAGGATACGGCCACTGGCACTGATTTGTCCTCCAGGCCCAGCCAGCTGCTGCGGGGTCGGGCCTTGGCTCAGCTGTCCGGGCTGCTGAGGATGTGTTCCCTGCCCCCCAGGCTCTGCACAGATACCCGGGACTGTATCTCCCAAGGCAGAGGGAGCCCTGAAGAGCTGCTGGGACACCAGCTGCACAGCACGAGACCTCCCCCTTCCCTCCCCGGGGAAATCCATGAAGAAAAGTTACCTTTGTCTGCACGGCGCCTCTCTGAAACAAACAGCAGGAGAGACGTGTTACACAGATGGAGACTGGACACAGTGATGAAGAGCGCCAAGCAATGCCCTTTCCACTCCTACCTATGCATGCAGGGGCTGTCCCTCACTGTCCCCTTGGCCACACCACACCTGGGTCCCCAAACCCGTTGCCCCTCCAGATGGGTGAAAGGAGCTGTCCGTAAGTTATGGGGGCAGTGCACTGCAAGGGTGGTGGAGTCAGCCCCCTCCCAGAGTTACACCCCCAGCAAATGGGACGTTTTGTAGCCAGTATTGCCAGCTTCAGTTGGATCGGGCTGCTGAGGTCAGAGAGGTTATAAAAATGCCTGGGCCAGGAAGAAGGCAGCCATTAGCCATGCGGTCATCCAGGTGAATCTGAACCTGGCTCTCTCCTCATCAGAGCATGACCCAAGAGTGCCCTGCCTCCAGAGGAAACAACAACCACCTCTGGATGATGCGAGTGAGTAACCTACTAGAGATCCGATTAGATATTTAGCTTCAGTAACTCAGATGCGTGTTGAAACGGCTACCTCAGCCACCCTGGTTTGCTCCATGGGATTCCTTTGATATTCCTGTAAGATTTCTATGATATTGCTCTACCTTTTACCCTGTTTCCGCCCTACCCCTGTAATCAATAAAGTTCTCCTTTGTGACCGGAATTATGCCAAGGAGGCCCCTTAGGTCTGTGGACTAAGGGAGGCTTCCCTAATCAGCCCCTGACTTGGGGAAGTGCCCCAAGTGCTTGTATTGGGTCTAGCACCCATTGGATGATCAGGCCTGTGTTTTCCAAGGTGCGCAGAGCCAGAAGTGAGTCCAGAGCCTTGGATGGTGGCAGCGGGAACCCCAGGCTAGCGGGTGTGCTCCAGGGAAGGGGTCGGCCGGACGGGAGGCACCCCAGGGAGGCACTCGGAGCCTGGAAGGTGGTCGGGCGCAGGGAGGTGGGCGGCTCAAAGCAGGAGCGCCCCCTACTGGCCCGCCACAGTCCTGGCAGGGATCAAAGCAGGCTGTCACCTGCCCTGCTATAATCACGTGAATGCTCTTGGCTCTGTCCCCTGCAAGGCCATGCACAGACCTGAGCCGGCTTGCCTGAGCTAAACGGACTGAAGAAAGCACCTTTCTTCCGTGTCTGGACAAGAGCTCAGCACAGCTTCTCCTGGGACTGGTGGACGCAGCCATGTCCCCGGGCTGCGTGAGGGGCTCCCTGTGCCGTGAGGGATGTTACTTGGGGTGACGGGCTCCCTTCAGCTCAGGTCAGAGCTCTTGTCTGCTCCAGCTTTAGCCCCATTCCAATAATTGGTTTTTTGCTATAAATTGTCACAGGAACTCTTTAAGACCTCCCACGTGTCCCAGGCACTCACCTTTCTCACTCTCCAGGGCAGACTTCAGGGCCACTGGGGAGAGAAGGGCAATATAGGTGAGATGGCAACCTGTTGTGTCTCTGGGAATCATCCCCTTGGTAGCACATATAACTGACTGCAGACACTCACCTTTCTCACTCTCCAGCTTAGATTGCAGAAGTCCTGGGGGAAAGCAAGGTTAGAGATGAGATTTCACCCTGTCCAGTTTGTACTGAGGTTCCTGCCATGAGCAGGACTGGGCTGTAATGGTGCACGTAAGGAGATGGGCACAGACAGGTTTTCGCTAGCTTCCCTGCACACCACATCCCTGTGGCCTGGGACTGACCTGCTCCAGGGCATGGTTCAAACTGCCCCACTATTTCCTATCCCCTCCAAAATGTCTCTTCCAAAGGAGCCATCCCATGCTTTAATCCCCTTTGACTACAGGACACAGGGAAGGGCTTCCTGGCTCCATGACGGACCCCAGCCCCATCTCAGCCTGATGCCTGCAGCTCCCTGCCTACCTCTCTCTTCACCCCACCCCCCTCTGCACCCTCCTACCTACAACTCTTCCAGGCCCGTGCCTTTCCTTCAGCTCCACACCCCACGGGGGTCTCTTGCTTCCACTCCTGTCATCACTATTATCAAGAGGACAGTAGCCCTTCCAGGCTGCACATCACACCGTCCTGGGCCCTGCACTTGCGGACTGAGAATGAGCCATCCGGTGCCAGGCCCTGTACGTACAGACTCTAGACTATCAGACCAACCGTCCCTGCACGGAGGAGGTCCCAGTCCGAGTAGGACCCTGAACATACTTGCACCTCTAGAGAGCTCTTATCCACAAATGGCACCATCACACGTCCCCACAGGCTTGGCATGTCCAAGGCTCCTCCCTCCCTTGGGTCTGCACCTCCCCGCCGTGCCCTGGTGCCATTGCTCCTCCATGCACTCAGGACGTGCAGGATCCAGCCTTCTCTCTCCATCCTGACAGCCCCGTCTCTGATGCTGGCCCTTATTTTATCCTGCCACAACTAATAAAGCTCCCTCCTCTCTGGCTTCTGCCCACACATGCTGACCCCTCCACACACAGCACATGGGGACAGGACCTGCCCCAGGGAGCTCACACGCAGCACTCCAGACAGGGCAGCAGAAAGGGGCAATGGAGCCCTGTGTTGGGGGGCACTGGGAGGACGAGGTGATGGTGAAAGAAACCTGGCCCTGATTGCTGTTTCCTAGATAGCACCAGGCAGGAGGGACATAAGGGAGCTCAGCAAAGGTAGGCCTAGGGGAGGGAGAAGAGGTATGAATGTGGATGGAGAACACCCTGCCTGGGGTAGGGGATGGGGAGAGGTGAGATTCACCCTGTGGTGTCTCTGAAATCACCCTCCTGGTAGCACATAGAACTGGCCTCGGACACTCACCTTTCTCATTTTCCAGGTTGGATTGCAGAGTCCCTGGGGAGAGAAAGGTTAGAGATGAGATTTCACCATGTCCAGTTTACAGTGAGGTTCCTGCCATAGCGCTGTGATGATGCACATAAGGAAAGCGGGCTGACAGACAGGTTTGTATTATTTTCCCCGCACACCACATCCCTGCTGCCTGGGACTGACCTGCTCCATCGCATGGTTCAAACTGCCGCACTTTTTCCTATCCCCTCCAGGACCTGATCTAAAGGTCTCTTCCAAATTAGCCATCCCCCTATCTGGACCCCTCTGCCCCCTGCCACTGTGACAGGGGGTAACTGAAAGTCGTGCTGTAGCACAGGGATTTGCCCAGGTGGCCTGGTGCCCCTACTGGTACTAAAAGACCTCCTGGGTGCTGGGCTAGTGGGGGTTGTTGGACACAGGACCTGCACCCACGTGGGGCCTAGCGCCTCGGAGCCAGGGGCAGCGCTGGGCTCTGCACAGGCTCCAGAGGATGAAGGCACAAGGGCTGGGTGTAAAGGGGTCGACAGGGAAATCGGGTGAGTGTAGCCTGTGGAAAACTGGAGTCACCATAAACAATTAAGCCAGGATGAGCGTGATAGACAGGCAGAGCACAGCACTGCCCCTGGTGTCTGAGCGGGAGCACAGCGCCCCACAGGGAGCTCTTATAGGGCTTTGGGGCTCACAGGAGCCCGCCTAGAGCTCTCCTCCCTCCCAGCCATGTGCTGCTGCTGGGCCCCTTTGGCCATCCCCTGCCTCTAACAGCTGCCCACCTTGAAGGTACAGTGGTGCAGCTGACAAGAAGCTGTGTGTCAGGATGGGGAGAGGGAGTGGGTGGAGCTCTGATCCAGAATGGGGCGGGGGTTGGAGCTGGTGGGTAAGGCTAGGAGGTGTGCTGGGGTGGATGTAGGGTGTGGTTAGAGGTCTCAGAATGGGGGCGGGGCGGTGAGGAGGGGCCCCTGGGGTGGGGGCACCAGATGGAAACACCACACCTGCACTCAAGCAGGGCTGCCAACACAAGGACATTTTTTCCCACTTAAAATCTGCAAACTTTATACTGAGAACCAAACTTTTGCCCTATGGTTAGTGTTAATCCCTATATTTGAAGCCCACCTTGTCACTGCCTTCCAAGGTCTGACCTGTATTTACATTATATAAAGCACAGGTCAGT